GGTTTGAAGAGACACTCAGAAATGTCAAATGTAAAAGTTATATAGATAATATCAGAAACTTAGCAATGAAGTTAGTTACAAGTAGGTAGGTATACTGGGTGTGTCACAAAAATGTGGCGAAACAAAGTTACAAAAATACTTTTCTAAATGGATCACCGCGTATTTCACTTATAAATCGGTATCTGAGCATCTGGCAACATACCACAATAAAGAATAGGTGGTTGAACGTTGAACCTTGGTAGAGCTGAATAAATTGATTCTTGATTTGTCTTGTCTAGTTGGAAACGCGCGTAGTTCAAATCCATTCTTTTTTGAAAATGAAATGTTTAGAAACATCGGATATGCAAATACTTGTTTAGGCAGAATCGTTGCAAAATACTCATTTAACCGCCAGAATTTACAGGGAAACTAGGACAAGATTTCTCAAAAAAAAAGCACCCACCTGATGAAAGACCATTCTGCCGTTTTACAAAGATTGCGTGATACAGGAAGTGTAAGTTGTGAGTGTGCAAAGTCTGCGTATTGATTTTAGTGGTTGAGAACGTTTTAGAACCAAAACATAAACAGATGGAAATAAACTCCGTGCAAAAAAAACTTTTAAATTTATCAGTTTTATTTACATTTAAATCCTGGCAAAGATGATATCTGTACAATGTTGTCACGTTGTTAACATTTTTCTTAATTTAAATTCTGCGATAACTCCGAGAATACTAACAATTGACTCATGGTTGATAGGACAGTTTCAGCTTGAAATGGGCCATATTAACTCATGTTAAAATATTTGTACTCATACCTGATACACCCTGTATACTTCACCTTTTCCAATAAAAATTCAATTATTCCACCCATTTTTCTTATTTTTTCCTGCCTGGACTATAAGAAATAAACCTAAAAGGTTTGAAAGGCTAGTCCAATGGGTCAATGATATACGGAGCGATAAATTCAAAAAGTATAACTTTGCTTCGCCACACTTTTGTGACAGACCCCGTATTCTTAGGTACCCACCTAACTAACTTCATTGTAAAGTTTCTGATATTACCTACAACTTTCACATTTGACATTTCTGGGTATCTCTTCAAATAGGTGAGATAGGTGTGTGAGTGCAAAATATAGACAATCACCCGGTACTTCAAAAGTGTACTTGAAACTTGACTTCAAGTACCTAGGTACTTTATATTTTTAAATATTTCAAGTAACAGATATTAGAGGCTGCTTGTTGGGTTGTTAAGTAATTTTTGACAACAATTCCAAGAAAAATAATAATTGAAAAAATTGTCATGTTCTATGTTTTATATTTATGATAAAGACGCCATTATAATGTATTCGTGTACAAGTACAAGTACTTGAAACACAATTGTACTTCAAGTTAGGAGCTCTGAAAAATTCAAGTTCTTGGTTATAATTGGAGAACATTTGAGAAAAATATGTATTTTGTACTTGAACTCGACGTACCTACTTTAGTAATGTACTTGGACAGCTCTGCTTTCTAGGTAATTTCTTTAAAGACTTCGTTTAAGGCGAGTATAAAAAGATCCAGATAATGTATAGGTATCTACAGGGTCTTTCTCCATATATTCACCCCTCCACTACAGGGGTTATGTGAAGAGATATCAAAAAATTGTAAATACAAAAGTTTTGGGGTTTTTCCTGAAATTTTTGAATCTAATCTCAAAATTTTTTTTGTTTTTTTAGAAATGTCAAATTTTGACAGATGGTCAGTTTTTTCTTATGGAAAACCTATATATTGGATTCAAAAATTTCAGGTAAAACCCCAAAACTTTTGTATTTACAATTTTTCGATATCTTTTCACATAACCCCTGTAGTGGGCGGGTCAATATATGGGGAAAGACCCTGTACCTACAATATGCTGAACAAATATTTGTTTATTGGATTGCTTATCCTTAGGTATTCTGAAAGATTTCGAATGTCGAATAGCCACAAAGTCTTTTAGATAGAAAATTTGTCAATCTAATTGGGATTATCAAAGATTTAGAGATTCATACAAAAGAAATGAAGCATAAGATGAAAATTTTAATAATCGAGGAAGCTAGTAGGTATCTCTGACCATCCAGGCAGTTCAGATACCACGAAATAAAGGAGATATTGATGATGAGGTAGAATCAATTTAAAGAAGAGATTATCTGATACTTCTGAGAGAGACAAAATATACAAAAATGTGAATAATTACACTCAATTTGCAACCGTTATTACTAAACGTTTAACATAATTTTCTAACTTTTCCCATTTAACCTCCATCGTATCTGTTATAGTTTCCTATGTCCTCATACATTCCCCATCAATTTGGGACACGCTGTATAGCAGGAAACCTCAAATTTGAAGAATATACGATGTAGGTACCTATCAAGAATTCTGAGGTGCATCAGTCAGTAGCGCCCATAACAACCCTTATATACTTATTATCTGAATTGTCCTAATCATCCTAAGGTATAATTTGCTTGAGCCAGATCTAAATAATTATCTTTCGATATCTCTAACACAGACCAGAAGAGTGAAAGTTTTCATTACAACCTATAAAATAGGTTTGTTCGGACTTGGTTAAGAATCAGTTCTGAATTGAACTGCGCTTGCGCATTTGTTTATATGGGCAAGTTTTATTGATGCGCATATGTCATTACATATGCGCATTTTCACCGATGTAATGCTGTTCTTGTTATTTGACACCAGCAAAACAAGGATAGGTTACTCATCAAAAGAAATGCGCATAAGCAAATGATGAATTTGAAAACTTGGCCCGTATGTTCGATATTAACAAATGCGCAAGCGCAGTTTTACTCAGAACTGATTCTGAACTAAGTCCAAACAAACCTAATATACTCCGTGCATGCGCACTGGTGTTGGTAGGGCATTTCAACCAATAGGAAGGCTGGATTACCAGCTGGTGTTTGTTTACAATTTAGGTTATCCAATGTCATTACTGCCGCTTGGATTTAATCCAACCCAATAAATTAACCAAACACAGTTCGATTACGATTCTGAGAAAACGAAAAAGTGTTTCATAACATGCGCATGTGCAGAATGTTCCAAACTAGTTCTGAGTGAAACCAGAACAAAACTACTATTTTCGAGAATGTATAAGATTTCCTCTATCTTTAAAAACTCTGATATCATTTTCCTTCAACTGCTATACACTCACCAACATTTCAAGGCCGCAACTATAGGTTTGTTCCAACACGTCAAAAACCCCATGGACGGTTTCGAAACCACTCTATACACGAATTTCGGGGTCTACGCACTCGTTTTTGGCTTTGCGCAGAATCGTGACGGTAAATTGTACGGTTTCTTGATGTGTTGGAACAAAGCTAATGAGTACTTACCTCATGTCCAAAAAGTAAGTTACCAAGAGAAAGATGGAGATAAGATAGGATTGTAATATAGTGAAACATATTTTGTTTTTGTTCATGGCGCTCGAGTGGCCTTGAAATGTTTGTGTCTGGCCAATGAGAAACCTGGAATAAGTAAGACAGGGAAACAATATAGAAATTCAATAAGTTAAAAAGAAACAGAGATGAAGTAGGGAAACAAAAATAGTGCCATGAGCTTTCATTATTCTTGGCGCTTGAGTTGACTTTTAGGTAAATTTTGTATCCGTCCTGCCTACTATAAGAGCCTGGAAAAATAAAGTAAGAGACAGCGATATAAGAATTTAAATGAGTGAGAAAGAAATGAAGCAAAAGTTTTAAAAAACGCAACACGAATTTTGCTTATTCCTGGCGCCTTAGTGGGTTTCATTTTTATGTCTGGCCAATCAAGAACTTGGCATAAAAAAAAAAGATACTCGTACAAAACATTAAATGAGCAAGAGAAAGATGGGAATAAGATAGGATTAAATTATAGTGGAACATATTTTGTTGTTTCCTGGCGCTCGAGTGACCTTGAAATGTTAGTGTCTGGGCCAATGAGAAACCTGGAATAAGTAAGACAGAAAAACAATATAGAAATTGAATGAGTTAAAAAGAAACAGAGATGAAGTAGGAAAACAAAAAAAGTTCCATGAACTTTTATTATTATCGGCGCTTGAGTGGAGTTTCAGGTAAATTTTGTATCTGTCCTACTACACAAAAACAATAGAATAAGAGACAGCGATATAAGAAATTAAATAAGTAAGAGAGAGATGGAGAAAAAGTTGATTAAAAAAAATGCGATGCGAATTTTGGTTTTTCTCGGCGTCTCAGTGGGCTAAATTTTTTTGTCTGGCCAATCAAGAGCCTGTAATAAAAAGAGAGAAGATACTGTATAAGATATTCAATGAGTAACGGAAAGATGAAGATAAGATAGGCTTAAATTATAGAGTGTAAGACAGGGAAACCATATAAAAATTCAATATCTAAGTTAAAAAGGAACAGAGATGAATTAGGATATATCAAGTTCTTCAGTTTTGAATTAGATCACTCCTTTTTTGAAAGTATGTAGCTATTTAGCAAACTAGTATATTAAAATTCAAGATAGCATAGGCGAGTTAATGGTTTCAATAGTCTAGATTACTCATGATATTTTTCTATCGTCTATTTTTATCAAGAGAAATAGCATTTTCTAAGGCAAACAAACATAAAATTCATGCTTATAAGGCCGAGTTAAGCATAACTTCAGGGTAAACATCGCAACTGGACACGTTTACCCTAGAGTTAAAACTAACCCGGAGGTGACTTCCTATTAAGAAACCGATGTTTAGGGGTTCTGGAGTGAGGTTAGTCCTAGTTTTTGCTCTATATGATTATCGATTATCAATGCATAAATATTGCCTATACTATAACTTGAATCAATACATATTATGAACCTATCTATTTAAAGACACATTTAATGTAAAAAAATACGCATTTTGATATCCCTTTATTCGATGGTAGTAGGTACCTTTTTAATTCTTCACACCTAATACATACATATTTATGAAACATAAAACTTTGCCCATTGATCAAAGCAAACATACCAAATCCGTTAAAAATCCCTGGCATAATTCATTTTCCACCCTTCGTTCACCCTCTATTAACACATCAGCGCCCGCCATTTTATTATCAAAGCCCCCACCAAACCTAACGTTGGCTGCACTACAGCTTCAGTACTTCCCAGGTGCGTTTTAATACTGCCTCTCTCCATACAATGGGACACGAGAACGTTATTTCCGACCAATCCGGCGACGATCCGCTAACCAACAGATGGTAATTTCATATATTTTTTTTCTTCTACTGGCTAACGATGAATTATATTATATTATATTATGGTAAAAGGTAATTTAGTGTTAGCACGGTCGTCTTATTGCCGATGGTCGTCTGTGATTTTTCGATTTTCGTGTCCAGAGTAGAGATCGCGCCGCGAAATGTGAACGAAATGGATTTGTGAGTTGTTTCTGTTGAGTTTTTGTGAACATGACGTCGTATTTTGGAAGTTACCAATTTCAAGGTAATAATACACAATTTTTGAATAGGTATCAAAGGCTTAAGGTTCTCTGTATATTGAATTTTGTCGGTTCTCCTCCAATATGAACTAAAATGCATTTTGGAATTGGACATTATCTCGGTTCATATTACTAAATCTGAAAACTTGTTTCTACTACTGGCTTCAATTTCATATTATTTGGTAGAAGGCTTAAATATGTTCTTAACATTCAGTATACATATTTGCAATATTGATAAATTTTCTTTACTCTCAAAAAATTAAGTCCATAAACCAATTTGTGAAAGGTGAGAAATCGTTAATGGTAAAATAATGACCAGAGGACCTCACAAGGGGGTGGGCTGATGAGTAATTTGGTTGTACCATGACGAAAGTTGGGTTGGCGGGCGTTAATTTGTTCCAAAAATAATTGAAATATTTTCAGGCCAAGGTCGAGTGAATCAACTCGGTGGAGTCTTCATCAACGGCCGTCCGTTACCCAATCACATCCGATTGAAAATAGTCGAAATGGCAGGAGCTGGCATAAGGCCTTGCGTCATATCCAGACAATTACGAGTGTCCCACGGTTGCGTTTCAAAAATTTTAAACAGATACCAAGAGACTGGTAGCATAAGACCTGGAGTGATTGGCGGTTCCAAGCCCAGAATTACAACTAGAGAAATCGAAGACCGAATAGAGCAAATGAAAAAGGACTATCCTGGAATTTCTACCTGGGAGATACGGGAACGATTATTAAAGGTAAGAAAATTTCATTGTAGGATATTAGTTGTTGGGTAGGTCAAAAATTCAGTTGGCTCGAGGGCAAATCCGCGTGCAAAATAACCCATCATCCCGGTATATTAAGAGAGGCCGATGAGATGAAAAAACATAGCTGTTAGGCTAAACAGTAAATACAATCTCTGGGCACGAAATTAATATGGGTGGTACAGGCATGACACGGTTCACGATCGCGCAGCAATGCAAAAAGGCTCAGGACAAATTACGGGTATTTGGTACCGAAGTTATCCGCAAGTTTTCTTATTGCCCATTTACCATCGGACGTTTGTACGTGTAGCACGTGAGCTATCCAATATAAGTAGTTTTCTCTTTTTCAATGTCTTTTTGGCCAAGTAAGATATGCCTTTGCATTGCGGTCGTATAATTTCAAGGCTGGGTTGTTTACTTTTCTACAAGCGTCGAAGACGAGTCTTTAATAGCCTCTAAAATCAACAAGAATCATAATAATGAATGGTTGTTAAGGATGCCTATTTGGTTTTTTTTTTCCAAATATATAATAATATTAATGAAGATGTAACAGGAATGAGTGGAACTGCACGGTTGGAAAAAAAAAGATATGAAATGTCTAGAAGATTTTTGGGACTTTCATCATCATAACTTCCAATTCTTTCCCAGATTTCCACAAACTTCCCTTTCTTTGGGTGGATTTTTTTGTACATTATCTTTTCTGTCACATTATGGGCTTGGGCTATTTTCTCATCGCGGACTTTTGGGTTCAGGCATCAAAAAGATATTTTTAGAATTGTGCTCTTAAATTTCTGAATGCTACAAATTGACAGATATTGATCTCTGACTGGACTGGCTTATACAATCAATTATTGTCTCCGTGCTATCGTTAAAATGAATTATTTTATTATAGGTACCTATCTGATTAGAGAAGATTTGTTGGAATACTCAAATACTTCATAACACAATGTGGATTTTTTTCAATACATTCCACCGTTTTCATTGATAGTGAGACAAACTTCTTCTTGAACTTTGGTTAAAGTGTTTATCTTGTAGTATTCACCTATGGTTAGATTCTTCTGGCCTTTGGACCGTTTTGAAATGATAAACGGACTCCAACGACTCTTACGGATGTTGTCGAGTCACTTTTGAATAATTCTTCTGGCTCCTGGGCGGTCTGAAATGGATTTGCACTTTTCCTGCTTTTAGGGCACTGTCTGAGTAGTCTTGAATTAATTTTCCTAGTTTCTAATGTGGAGTAGAATTGAACTCTTCTGGGTTGCATCGCAATTTCAATTCGCTTTAGGGTAATTTTTCTGGGGTTCTGAAATAAATAACGATGATATGTCTATGTCTATTGACGTCCCCTTTTCTATGAATTTTGATAAAGGAAATGAAGACGATAGCGTGGGATTAATTCTCTTAGCTTCTGGAGCGATGTGGAGTGGATTTGAACTGTTCTAGGGCACTCTGGAATCGCTTTATATCCTTCAGGCTGAAGGAGCATGAAAGGAAAAGAGTAGATTTGAACTCTCCTGGCTTGCATCGCACTTTCAATTCGCTTTTGGTTAATTTTTCTGGACTGATAGATAGTGATAATATGTCTATCTCTATTGACGCACCCTTTCCATTAATTTCGATAAAAAAAAAGAAGATGATAGCGTTGGATAAATTATCTTGGTTTTTGGAGCGATGTGGAGTGGATTTGAACTCTTGTAGGGCGGCACTCCGGAATTCCTTTGCATAGGCGCCGGCTTTCGCTTCCTAAAATCTCTATGGGTGCTTAGCCAAAAACGACATAAAATAGTAGTAGTGCCACTCCCAAATAGTATATATTTCTTAACTAGTGAGGAAAGTGTCACTTTTCCGCTCGCGATTACAGCGAGCAATCGAGTAAGAAAAATATACTTTCCGCACGAGTTAGGAACAATAATTGTTCTACGAGATAAAAGTTACCTAGTATTTGACCTATATAATAATATTTAGGTAAGTACCAATTATTAAGGATATTTTTTTTAAATTTTCCGCACCTGTCTGTAGTTTACCTGTGATTTGTAAGTAGGTAGGTACCTACTTGTATACAACCAATATTAGGTACCTATTCGACTTTTCCGCACTAGTACGGAAAAGTTATGCGAAAAAGTGTTAATTTCATAACCTAAATGCTTGCGGTCGCAAAAAAGTGGGGTTTCACGCAGGCTCGTAGAGAGCTTTCGAACCCTTCTTATACAACCCAAAAATCTACAGAAAAATTAATACTTATACCAACCCTAAAAAAATGTCTAGAGAATATATTGAACTTGACTGAGACTGGAATTCCCAGAAATCCAAAGTCCAAAACAGAACAGCGCAGTAGTAGCGCACTGGCGTAGCCAGGGGGGGACAAAAAATTCTTCAAAATTAAAATAAGCAATCCCGAACATACCGTAAAGAGACCTGGAACAGGGGCGTGGCACCCATAAATTTCGCGAATGCGGCAGCGTTCGCGGTTTCTTCAAATTTGCCCCCCTCCCCCCAAGACAAAATCCTGGCTACGCCAGTGGAACAGCGCACCCATGTCTTTGCCCATGGCCCATTCACCAGCCATTCGACTCGCTGATTGGACCTCTTGGGTCAGACCCAAGGATATTATATACCACACAGGTTTGCTCATCTGTCGCGGTATTTTTCGGATCAAGGTCATAATAGGCGTCTTCGGAAACGAAGTTTCGATCAACCCGATCACCAACTTATGTAAATTGTCCTTTTTCAATAGAATTCATTGATGATCTGGTACATCGGAACATCGTTTCCGAAAAGTCCTATTGTGTAGCGCTGCTTGCGTCAGCGGTTTTTTGAAGTGAAACTTCTAGGCGGGGGTCTGATATTTGGATGACAATGGAGAGTGATTTGAAAAACGCGTCACGAGCAAATTTCGGTACTTGAGAAAGAAGAAAAATATAACGTAAATGGACGGAGAAAAACAGCTACTGATTGACACAAACCAAGGATTATAACCGCAAAAAGGATTGCCTATTATTGACAAGCGCCGATACCCTTGTAACGTCACTACAGATGCGCGTCTACTTTTTGTAATACTATTAATCCAGGACGGCTGACTCACCACAATTTGTACATCGATTTCGGAAATCGCACGGGATTTCGACAATTTTTAAGGGATTTCGGATATTCGACTTTCAACGCCGTACCACTAAGGAGTTCGAGTATTTCGATAAATCTATCGAGATTTAGGGATTTCAGAAGGATTCCGATTGGGATTTCGGGATTTCATAAGGATTTCGGTTGGAATTTCGTAAAGATTTCGAATAGGATTTCGCTTTTCGCGATTTCGAATGGATTTCGAGATTTCCTAAGGATTTCGAAATAATTTCATGGGATTTCGGATGAAAATGTACAGCGATTTCGGGAGTGAGCCGCCCCTTGACTATTATCATTGGGTTCTGTAATTATTTCCGTTATTTAGACATTTCTGACCTGTGCTTTTTGGAGTGAAACTTCTTCGGCGGCGGTCTGATATTTGTACGGAATGGAGAGTGATTTGAAAGACGCGTCACGTTTTGGCAAATTTCGTTACACGAGAGAGAAAAAAAAATAACGTAGAGGGACAAAGAAAGACAGGCAATGACAATGACAGCCGACGAACAATTGATACAAACCAAGGATTATAAACTATTATTGTCAAGCGCCGATACCCTTGTGACGTAGGTAACTGATGTTTTTTTGGTTTTTGTTGATTTTTTCATTACCCTCTCAACTAGGGAAATTATACATTAAAATTTCTTCGTATGGGTGCTCCATAATATATTCAATATAGGTGCTTGCGCATCCGTAGCACCCATGGAGTCGGCGTCTATGTCGCTTTGGATCCCTCAGGCTTTGAAACTCCGGGCTTCGACGCCCTGGGGCCAGCGCACGCTCTGAAAAGAAAAGAACGGTAACTAAAGGGACATAGTAAATATATTTTTTATAATTATCTGACACTAGTGACAGTTCGGACTCTGGAGCTATGGAGCTTCGACGCCTCTCTGAAGCGCTAGCGGTGGGGATATATGACCCCGGGGCTTGACGCCCCAATAAAAAGAACAGTTGACACATTTCAAAATCGTGATCTAGGGCGCCCAAGCTCGTGAAAAGAAAGCAGCTCATATGAACAGAAAAGAGAAGATTTGAATTCTCCTGGCTTGCATCGCACTTTCAATTCGCTTTTGATTAGTTTTTCTGGACTGGGACCTGTAACAAATAGCGATAACATGTCTGTCTCTATTAACGTCCCCTTTCTACTAATTTCAATTAAAAAGAAGAGCATGATAGCGTTAGATCAATTCTCATGGCTTCTGGAGCGATGTGGAGTGGATTTGAACTCTTCTAAGGCACTCTGGAATCGCTTTGGATCCTTCAGGCCTTAGAGCAGGTATAGCGCTGTCCTACGGACATAAGGAGTAGGAACGCGCTATTCTGCTTTGAAACTAAAGTGAAGCCAGTTTTTGGCAGGTGTTTGTACACCAAACGACAGGTAAAGCATTGAATTTCCTATACCGCCATTATTTTGGATCTCAAAATACCTGGAAAAAACCGGCTTCAAAATCCAACTTCATGTTCCTACTCCTCTCACCTAGGAAATTACCTGCTCTAACCTTCAGGCTGAAGGATCATGAATAGAATAGAGTAGATTTGAACTCTCCTGGCTTGCATTGTACGTTCAATTCGCTTTTGGTTAATTTTTCTGGACTGGGACTCTGTAACAAATAGCGATAATATGTCTATCTCTATTGGGGTCCCCTTTCTTGATTTCGATAAAAGACGATAGCGTTGGATTAATTCTCTTGGTTTCTGGAGTGATGTGGAGTGGATTTGAACTCTTCTAGGGTACTCTGAAATCGCTGTGGATCTCTCAGGGTCCTTATTCTTAAAACAGGGTAGCAGCTTTCCCAGGAGAACGAGCGTTCCGTCTTTGTCACTTATATTATCGTTTGCATATCATTGAGAAAGACAGAACACTCGTTCTTCTGGGAAGGCAGCTCCCCTGTTTCAAGAATAAGGACCCAGGCTCGAAGGACCCTGGAATAGAAAGGTTTTTGTGCTTTCTTCTATGATACACTAGCTCTAATGAAGTGATGTCTGGAAGTATCAATTTTGAACCTCTTGTCTTCTCTTAATCCTGGTTCTTGATTGGTCCTGAGAATTTCCTAGCCAATCAAGAGCCTGGAATAATTAAAGGTAATGTCAAATTAGGACATCATTACGTAACAAATTCGTTGCATCAAAAACTCCAAAAACCCTCATATTAAGTTAAACGCCAAGTTATGCATTAAGATTCAGATCATAGCACAGTGGCGGATCTATAGCACCATTCCAGGAGGGGAAGCTTAGAAAGGTCTTTGTGCTTTCTTCTATGATACACTAGCTCTAATGAAGTGGAGTCTAGGAGTATCAATTTTGAACCTCTTGTCTTCTCTTAATCCTGGTTCTTGATTGGTCCTGAGAATTTCCTAGCCAATCAAGAGACTAGAATAATTAAAGGTAATGTCAAATTAGGACACCATTACATAACAATTCGTTGCGACAAAAACTCCAAAATCCCTCATATTGAGTTAAACGCCAAGTTATGCATTAAAATTCAGATCATAGCACAGTGGCGGATCTATAACACCATTCTAGGGGGGGTAGAGCTTAAAAAGGTCTTTCTGCTTTCTTCTATGATACACCAGCTCTAATGAAGTGGAGTCTAGGAGTATCAATTTTGAACCTCTTGTCTTCTCTTAATCCTGCTTCTTGATTGGTCCTGAGAATTTCCTAGCCAATCAAGAGACTAGAATAATTAAAGGTAATGTCAAATCAGGACACCATTACATAACAATTCGTTGCGTCAAAAACTCCAAAATCCCTCATATTGAGTTAAACGCCAAGTTATGCATTAAAATTCAGATCATAGCACAGTGGCGGATCTATAACACCATTCTAGGGGGGGTAGAGCTTAAAAAGGTCTTTCTGCTTTCTTCTATGATACACCAGCTCTAATGAAGTGGAGTCTAGGAGTATCAATTTTGAACCTCTTGTCTTCTCTTAATCCTGCTTCTTGATTGGTCCTGAGAATTTCCTAGCCAATCAAGAGACTAGAATAATTAAAGGTAATGTCAAATCAGGACACCATTACATAACAATTCGTTGCGTCAAAAACTCCAAAATCCCTCATATTGAGTTAAACGCCAAGTTATGCATTAAAATTCAGATCATAGCACAGTGGCGGATCTATAACACCATTCTAGGGGGGGTAGAGCTTAAAAAGGTCTTTCTGCTTTCTTCTATGATACACTAGCTCTAATGAAGTGGAGTCTGAAAGTATCAATTTTGAACCTCATGTCTTCTCTTAAACCCGGTTCTTGATTGGTCCTGAGAATTTCCTAGCCAATCAAGAGCCTGGAATAATTAAAGGTAATGTCAAATTAGGACACCATTACATAACAAATTCGTTGCGTCAAAAACTCCAAAAACCCGCATATTAAGTTAAACGCCAAGTTATGCATTAAGATTCAGATCATAGCACAGTGGCGGATCTATAGCACCATTCTAGGGGGGTAGAGCTTAGAAAGGTCTTTCTGCTTTCTTCTATGATACACTAGCTCTAATGAAGTGGAGTCTGGAAGTATCAATTTTGAACCTCTTGTCTTCTCTTAATCTTGGTTCTTGATTGGTCCTGAGAATTTCCTAGCCAATCAAGAGCCTGGAATAATTAAAGGTAATGTCAAATTAGGACACCATTGCATAACAAAATCGTTGCGTCAAAAACTCTAAAAACCCTCATATTAAGTTAAAAGCCAAGTTATGTATTAAGATTCAGATCATAGCACAGTGGCGGATCTATAGCACTATTCTAGAGGGGGGTAGAGCTTCTCGACCAATAACGGCTCGTGGTCTATACTTTTTTCGGGTGCCACGCCCAAGACGCATTTTAAGCCTCCAAAAAATATTTCTGTGTGTTTTTTTGATAATCGAAATTTTCTTAGGCCTCTCTGGGGGGGAGGGTCATAACCCCCTTCACCCCCCCGTGCATCAACCACTGGGAAAAGACGTTGTTTAAAATAATGAAAATGCCGTACAATTACGTCATAAATACGTCAGCCATGTCGTATTTGAAATATGGTACAATTGACGTCCTCATATATATGTCAGTTTGATCATGACATGCCGTGTATGTGACAGTAAGGTCATACACTACGTCATATTTGGGTAAGATGACATCGCGAACCGAAATTGACTCTAAAATAACGTTATTTGGAGAGAATTCAAGAGCCTGGAATATAGACAATCCTTGTATTTCTGCTTATAAACCAATTTCTTCTCAAATATTTCTCAATTTCCAATTCTCATACATTTCTCGCTCATTTATTCTTTCTTTATTTTTGCCTATTCTTTGCTCTTGAATTTCTTCAAATTTCCCTAAATAGAGGGAGTTTAAGTCCCTCCCTTTAAGTTTAAGAGTAAATTCTTGTATTGCTGCCTATCAACATAGTTTCTCTTCAAATTTTTCTCAATTTTCATTTCTCATTAATTTTCTCGCTCATTTAGATATTCCTTTTCAATTTTTGTCTTTTCCCGGTTCTTAAATTTCTTCAAACTTTCCTTAAATTGAGAAAATTCAAGAGCCTGGAATAGAAACAATCTTTATATTTCTGCTAATCCACCTGTTTCTTCTCAAATTTTTCTCAAGTTTCAATTCTCATTAATTTTCTCGCTTAACTATTCTTTTCCAATTTTTGTCTGTTCCCGGCTCTTAAATTTCTTTAAATTTCTTTAGAAAAAGTATTCTTGTGAGTGTGGAAAAAAAAGCAAAGAATTAATAGAGATTCAGGAGAAACTATGACCGATATAAAAAAGTGGAAGGCAAATGCTTGACAAAATATGAAAAGTGCCACTAAGATTAAAGGCAGTCCTCCGCCAATAAACATGGATCTCTGAAAAATGTTCGCATTATTCTCCATATATTATATATAATTTCCATCATATCATAGCCACAAAAACAATGAGGCCTTTTGGGTAAGCAAAAATCCCGGTCATCTCGCGGTTACGTTGTTGTCATCGATGGGCGGCGATGGTTATCTTGGTCGCGTTGTTCGGGCCTCCGGTCGTAGCGTCGCAGGTGCGTGGCGGCACGGGCTAATTTGAGGGCGGCACGTGACCCTGGGCGACGGCCGCCTTTCATCGCGTACCGCCCAAGCTTTCCGTCGTCGCGCAAAAGTGCCCCGCGGGCGGCAGCGCGGAATATTATATTACGAAGAATATTACGTTTTTTTTATGCGGACCCTGACGGCCATTTACTTCCGAGTTATATCGGAGAGACGGACCGGAGAATATATACTTTTTGTGATTATGCCACACAATTTTTTTCTTTTGCAGGAAGGTATAAGCGAACCTCCTAGTGAGTCTTCAATAGGCAAACTTTTGCGGAGTAATGGTAAGCGCGAACCTGATTTGGATGGAAAAAAGGATTACACCATTGATGGAATTCTTGGAGGTAAGATATTTTTTCGTACTACTATGATAGAGGGATAGAGCTCTATTCAATTTACTATATATACTCTCTTTCCTTTTCGTTAGGAGCACAGAAACTCATTCTCAATAGCTCTGTTCCAACCGGCAGGAGAATTGTTGTAGTGTTGTGTTGGTAATTTCCAGTCGGGCAACTAAATAGAAATTACTGGTTCTGGAACAGTTCTCATGTCGGTTGGAACAGAGCTATATGCCAAGTTCACACAGTTATCTCGATCGAAGGTTATCACTTTTTCTTTCGCTAAGAAGTCTATAGATTGTTGATTTACTGATTCCTGTCATATTAGCACATGTCGAGACTATACATCGGATAGTAGGTATAGTATTTTCATTCTGACTTGAAATACTGCATTATACGAGGATATTTCAACATCACGTTGCTCTCTTCTTTTAATTTCATAGAAAATCTATTGTAAGTCTCCCTGTACAAAATATAGGCAGCGACATAATATTATTGCTACAGTATCGCGAAATAATAATTTATGTTGGCACGCGCCGGGAACAATGTAGGTTCACTTGCTGACTAGACTATGCGATTTCTATAACCCAGTGTCATCCCAATTTATATCTTATTTGCTGTTTTATTCCACGTATTATTTAGTTGTAGGTATTGTTTCATATTGATTATCACCATTTGAAGAAATAAAAATTATGTGACGCCCATGTCCTTTATTTGTTTGATGTATGCCGACTAGATGTTTTTTTAATGTTTCAATTCGGATTAAAAATACTATACTTGGAGGCAATGCTACATTCCTGGCTTTGGCCGCTTTGGGATCAATGACATTTTTACAATAAATTCACAAACAAACACACTATAGATGCATACACCACTTCCAAGTGCAAAATTCATTGTGAATTGCCAATAATAGGTTTGTTCGGACTTAGTTCAGAAACAGTTCTGAATTAAACTGCGCTTGCTAATTTTGAACTAAGTCTCCGAACAAACCTAATGACTCGACCAATACCTGGGTCTTAGTGATTGCCTATGGTTCATGGTCTTCCACCCATTTCCCTGTACTCCTATCGAAAAGGGAACAGAGTATAGAGCTCAAAATATATTTAATTGAATATTGTAAAGTCATCTATTGCAATACCTAATATCTACCTATATTGAAAATATTAAAAACAGATATATACCTATATCATTTATGTTACCACCATAATCTCTGTCTCCAAATAGAAAATCAATACAAAACTGACTCGGTTATATAATGCGTGTGTCATACATGGGACCTAATGGCATTAATGACCGTCGAAATCGGATTATGGATCGACAATCGCACGTAAAAAAAAACTTTTAAATCTGACACGCCGCCTTAAGCCGGAAGAAGTGATTTACAAACTATGACAACCGTGGTTACCAAATATAAATTATTTCTTATAATATAGGGTAGATATAAACTTCCATTTTTTTTTTTTAGCAAAGGTTATCAATAAATAAACTAAATATTCGATATTCGTCGGCATCTTTTAAGTCACTCATTCCCATTGTCCAGATTCTATTTTGAAATCATAGAGAAATAGGGCAAAAGAATGGTTCAATGCGAAGTGCCCTTTTATGTTTATTAAAATGGGCGTGCTTTTTGAAACCGATTGCCCGTAAACACATGTGGGTATCATTGTTATTGCCCTTTTTTTCCGAAATCAAGTCTACCTGAATAGGAATTTGGGTGAATTATTGTATTTAATACTCGTCAAACTTTTAGCAGATGAGAAAGTAAAATACTTAACCTATATTTGGTAGACTAGACTTGAGAATAAAGGCGATATTCAACAGTATATAAATCCCGCAGGATCGCGCTAAAGTTCCCGCTTTAATAAATATCATTCCAAAACGATTTTCTCTTTCTTCGCTTTCATTCTGGAGTTATTAAATGCGCATAATTCATATCCCGTTCCTGTGTAACATTAATCACAACGGGCACAGTGCCCCCTGGGGACCGATTAGACAGATACACCTATATATGGCCACACAGGTCGCTCTTTACTCTTTTGACTTATTCTGAACGTCGTTATAAGGTAAAATTGCACAAATTTATATATTCAAAGAAATAGCGGTTTTTTTTCTTTTTTACAATCAAATTGTAATACTCAAAGTTAATTTACTTCGTTTATGACATTTACAATCGTTGGTCGTCTTAAGAGAAATTTATGGATAGATGAAGTCATTGTTCCATGTTACCAGGAAATCTATATATGTAGGTACTTATGTTTCCCTCGATTCGTTCGAATTCCGACAATATCTTATTATAGTACCTACCGAAAATAGAATAATTACCTATGAAGTACTCGATTGAAACTGTGTATTCCTATATTCAAAAATAGAACATTACAGTAGGAAAATACTGCTCTTATCATTTGTCATGGGGTCATAAATTTCAACGATCGGTAGAATTCAAGAATTTGAGATTTTCCAACACTTAGCCGGGATATTTTCTATTTTCTCTTCCTCTAGCTAAGTAGGGCTCTTACTTATTAAAATTAGAAGGCTGTACGAGTACGATACCTACACACTGTTTCATGACATATACATGTTTCCTTTCCCAATGGCGGACTGGCTAGGTCGGCAGGTCGGCAAATGCTGACCGTGCCCCCATTTCTTGGAGGCCCCCGCTTGTGCAATCACATATAAAAATATGCTCTAAAAATAGTCGGCACGTCTCTGTTTTTCCAGAATGTCCACTGAAGTCTGGCAACGCGGAACGCGGGAACTGGGAATCGTTGTGTCCACTATCTCGCAACAGCCCTAGGGAGTTTAACTCCTGACCGATCCCACTTTCGTTGGTGGTTAGGCCATTCGGAATGTTGGGCAAAGCTCTTGGCACAATGTTAGGTCACAGAACCGAATAGCGATTCGTCTCGTTCGAACGCGTACTCTGGCAACAGAGGATACTAAGTGTCTTATTGTCTTACCTAATGAAAGGTTTTGTCCTGACCATTTGGGCAGAACAGCAGGGCCACTGCATCGCCACTATCCCAGAATTCTAGGCAACGAGGCGAACTCTGGCTCCATGAAGCTGGAAAGGTGTGACAGCCCGAGTCCGTACCTTATCTTGGAAGGGGATTCATGGCCCCGAACACAAGGAATATGGGGCATGAACATAAACGCACTGGTAAAATCCAGTAGCGTAACTTGACCTCAGGGAGCGTCGGTGCAAGATTAAATTAGTTTCCTTTGGATACCACGCCCAAAAACGGTAATTTTAAGGTGGAAAAGTGACATATTCTCGGCCGACGGTGTAAGTTGACGGGCGAGGCGCAGCCGAGGCCGGCAAACACCGAAGGCCGAGAATGTGCTTTTCCTCTGAAATACATATACAATTTTTTCTGCGATCGCTCCAGAAATGGAAAAAATTGAGGAATGCTTCTGTGTTTTTCGTAAAAATCAGCACACTTTCCCAACCTAGACCGGAAAATGATTTTCGTACTGTTATCCATTGATTCCTTAGCAATCACTTTCCCGGCCTAGTCCGGAAAAGTGATCCCCATACTGTTATCCATCGATTCCTTAGCAAGCATTAAAAATACCAGTACATTGAGTTTGTGACCTGTCAAGTAGTCAAAAATTATGACATTTCTTGTCAATCGTAGAAAAACATTTTTTTTTCCATATTACATATTACGAATTCAATAGAATAGGTAGCTACTCATGACAAATGATGGGCCCCTGAAATCTCGGGGGACGCGGTGATTTACACCGAACTGCCCTATGATAGTTACGCTAGTGGTAAAATTTGGCGCATAAGTCCCAATCCCAGCTTCTGGGGCAAGCAATAGATAATTGACATGTATACAGGGTGATTTACGTAGCCCGTGCATTAGCTTGCATGTGGACTAGGTGCTAATTCTACTAATTCATTCGCAAACTAGACAACTTTTAATGCACGGGCTACGTAAATCATGGTGTATAGTAGGCTTAGCTAAAGGCGACTCGTCAAGCGTTGCTTTCGGTCTTAATAAGGGGGTGTAACCCAAAAATAAAAGTTTTTCGAAAAAAAATCTGAGAATCAATTTTCAAACCGCACTAGGCTATGACCAATTGTTACGAAGATACGAAGATACGTGGTACAAAGCTCCCACTCACAACACTGTAACGTCATATGCACAAACTGAGTCCGTTGGCCGGCGCTGGGCGTGCGTTTGCTCATGCTTGTCGTTGTATTATCGACATTAGCGTATTGTTTTTGCGTTCTCAACTCTATCATTGCGTCAGTTTAAATAGGTTTTATAATTTTTGCGTGTGTTTATGACGTCACGCAAGACAAGTTGTATTTTAAGGTTGCACCTTCTTTAAGCGGGGAGGTGTGCGTAACCAGATCCGAGGGGGTGGATAAGTACCTAGTGTTTCTGTGCACGTAACTTCACCATTACGCCCAAGTGTTAGGGACCATCACACTATACAAGCAGCCCAATCATACATATATTGCTGGGGCGCAACTAACGTGCCCAAAGGGCACGTGCGCCGCTGAGTTCAGTAGTCTGCAAGGCGGTTGCGCAGACCTTGACCGTAACGTAGTGGCTATATATTATTTATCATTACATTACCCTGTTAACCAACACTTCTATCTACCTTTGTCTTGAACTGTTACTATTATTAAGTTTTGACAATTTTTTATGGTGCAGAATGCGTTATGCCTTAAAAAACATATACACCCATTAAATCCGGGCGCGGGCCCCCAAGGTGAGCGAAGCCGACCTTTCTACTGTGCCAGTCCGCCACTGACTTCAACTTGATCCTTTTTTTTTGAGTTGCTATCAAGGTGAAAATTCGTGATTTTACTCGAACAAATAATAATAAATTCGTCAATATCCTACCGATGTGGCGAGGTCTGTTGAGGGGTAAATTTCCTAAGCCTTGGTTAAGTGTGAAGGGAGAGTTTAGAGAGTTTAGTTTAGATAAATAACATTCCACCAAATGGAAATCATAGGTGCTTTCCAGTGACCAATTTGAGCTTCTCCTGT